AGCTTTGAGTGAATAACTGAAGGAATAGTACCCAGGCCCTGAGTTCAAGCCCCAGTATTTGCATAAACAAACAGACTGGTAGAAAGATAAACACATTTTTAAAAAGGGCTATCCTTTGCTTGTGGATGAAGTCACTTGGTACAATTTTCTATCACCTTTCTTTCGCATTAATAATGTAACAGAAGCATGGTACTCCTTTTTCATCTGTGTGCAATGCAGAATGTAAGCTTTGCTGGGATCACAAATAATCAGCAATATAGATGATTTTATTTTGAAAATCATCTTGACTACTGACTGTATTGGTGAAGACAGAGAGGGAGAAGGGGAGAAGAAGAGGGGTAGAGGGGAGAGACATTGTAGTTGTCATCCTTAACAGATTGCCTTGTTGCTGTTTCTGCCAACTTGTGAGAGAAGAAATATTTCTACTCAGCTCCAATTCTCAACATAAGTAAATAAGGAAGTAATATGGCTGATTTCCGTTCTGGTGGCTTAAGATTAACTTGGCTGAGGAAGCCGCTATTTGCAGAAATAGTTTTGGGATAACTCAAAAGGGGAAAAAAAAACCCACTGATGCCAGATGTTATTGTTTTTTGTTTCATTCCAATTATACTGGAATATTAATATTTTGTTCCCTATAATTAAATATGTGCCAATCTCTATTTACAGCTCATCCACTTCACTCTGCCTGTACTGTTATATTGGAAAATGTAGGAGTTCCTACAAATGGGCACATATTAACAAGGAGACATTCTGAATTGGCAAGGAGAAAAGCAAGAAAATGAAAAGCAGATTGTTACAAGGAATCTATCTAATGCAAAGAACAAGCAAAGTTGTTCTGCTTGAACTCAAGTATAGTTACAGGTATTTGTAACACTAAAAAAAAAGTTCACCATAGTCAAACAGTTATAACCATTTTGAGCACCATCAATTTACAAGTTTCAGATTAAAATACGCCTCCAGTATAATCATGGAGCCACCACACAGCTCCTAATTAGCATTTGGATAGAGTCAGCTCAACATATTTTCTGGAGCACTGTGAAAGACCTTCAGCAGTTATTTAGAGCTTTGCTTTAAATCTAAAGTTATTTTGAGTTTATCTGTGACTTCCATCCTTTTTACCATAAACATTTGCTAAATACATACTGCAAGCAAAGGACAAAAACACAGATAAGACAGGTTTAGATTTATCATCTCTCCACTATCACTTTTTTTCTCTGTAGCCTAAAATACCTTCCTGTTCTTTTTTTCTTTTCTTTCATTTTTTTTTGTTTTTGTTGGTCTCGGACTTGAAATCTGGGCCTGGAAGATGTCCCTGAACTCTTCACTCAAGGCCAGCACTCTACTGCTTAAGCCAAAGAGCCACTTCCAGAGTTCTGATGGTTAATGGGAGACAAGAGTCTCACGGACTTTCCTGCCTGGGCTGGTTTTGAACTGTGATCCTCAAATCTCAGCCTCTAGAGTAGCTAGGATTACAGACGTGAGCCACCAGTGTTTGGCTACCTTCCTGTTCTTCAACTCAGTATATGAACAACTCCTCATGTCTATCTTGAAATTTTATGACCACTATAAGCATGGCTTGCATGGTACTCACACAATTGTGTGTGCGTGTGTATACATGCTTGTACTGGGGCTTAAACTCTGGGCCTAAGCACTGTCTGTTACCTTTCATCACTCAAGGCTAGCATACTCTACCATTTGAGCTCCACTTCAAGAGAGATTAATTGGGGATATGAGTTTCATGGACTTTTCTGCCTGGACTGGCTTTGCACTATGATCCTCAGACTTCAGCCACCTGAGTAGCTAGTATTACAAATATGAGTCACCAGTACCAGGTATAGGTCTACTTTTGTAATCCCATAATTACAGGACCAGGTGGCTAAGTGATTAGGAAAATGGGCTTTCCAGTCATGAGTAGTCTTGCCACTAGGTGAATACTGAGTTCAAATGGCCTTAGTTTTTGTATCTGTTGAACAAGGTTATTAACAGTAACTACCTCATAGCGTAGTTTTAAGGATTAGATGGAAGTGAGTAAATTATCAGCTATTCTGTTACTATTACTGCATCTCCTAGATGTTTTTCAATTATGTTTTCTTGTCCCTCACTATCCTTTTAACCTAAATGGGTTTCTAATGCCTATTTTACCCTCCTTTGATGTATTCAAACACCGTCTATTAGAAATGGTGGTTTTAAACACAAATTCAAGCAAGTCAAACAAATTAAAAAGTCTATGGGTAGCTGGGCACTGGTAGCTCACACCTGTAATCCTATCTACTCAGGAGGCTGAGAGTTGAGGATTGCAGTTCAAAGCCCAGCCGGGGCAGGAAGACCATGAGACTCTTATCTACAATAAACTATGCAGGAAAAAACTCCAAGTGGTGCTGTGGTTCATGTGGGAGAGTGCTATCTCTGAGCAAAAGAAGCTCAGGGACAGAAGCCAGGCCCAAAGCTAAAACCCCACGATCAGAAAAAAAAAAGTCTATGGGCGATTTTTCACTATATATGTGATAAGCTTAAAATTTCAGTTCAGAAGCCTGGCACTAGAGGCTCACACCTGTAATCCTAGCTACTCAGAAGGCTGAGATCTGAGAAACATGGTTGGGCAGGAAAGTCCATTAGACTCTTAGTTACAGTTAACCAGTAAAAAGCTGAAAGTGGAGGTACAGCACAAGTTGGTTAAGTGCTGCTTTGAGTGAAAAAACCTGGTCTCATTATAGGAGTGTGTGCTATATACATACACACACACTCAAGTTAGAAAGTTCCAGTTTAGCACCCATAATTCTCCATGAGATTCAGATGGCATAATGAGAAGGAACCAGAGCACTGCAAGAGTGTACGAAAGTACTTGTTGACATGGATTTAGAAGTCTGGTGTGGTCTTCTGTGGCACCAAAGTCACTAATTAGATCTAATGAGCTCCAGTGGCATTAGTTTTCTGATCTGGATGCTGATTATCATTATAATCCCTTTCTTTGCTTAAATTCCAGGTCTTTTGAGCTCCTTCCTGTTCTGACACAATGGTTTAGCTACATTCGTTTTACTGTTCTCTTTAACTAGCTTTTCACCTAGGAGACTCTTCAATGAAATACAAAAAAAAGAAGAAAAAAGCTGGAAGTGGCAGGGCCCTAGACTTGAACACAAAAACTCAGGAGCAATGCCCTGAGTTCAAGTCCCAGAAATAGGGTATGAGGAAAGTAGCAGCCACTCGTTAAAAGGTTAAGAGGCCAGGGTTGGGAGTGGCTCAAGCCTATAATCTTAGCTACCTAAGGAAGCTGAGATCTGAGGATCTAGATTTGAAGCCAGCCCAGGCAGACAAATCTGAGGCTTCTCTTTAAATAACCAGCCTGGTTCAATTCTTTCATCTGACAAAAACAAAAACAAAAAAGTCAACAAAAATTTCAGGGGAAGGTATAGGAAGATGGTTCTTCTGAAACCACTAAAGAAGTAGAAAACATGGATTCTCTTCTTTCCTCTTTAGTCACCATTTATTCTCATTCTTTTTTTCTTCTTTCTCTCCTCTGCTCTTTCTGTCCCAGTACATTCTAGGCAAGCACTTCTAACCACTGAGTTTCATACTCAGCGATCTATTTGGATTCTTAGATAAGCCAATTCTCTTTATCTCTGAAAACTTCCATTTTTCTCATATTTACAACCTTGTACCTTTCTAGCTCCACAAGTCAGACTTTACACTGCTCAAGGATAAATAATGAGATACATCTTTCTGAGGGCAGGGGTCATCTTCAAAACCACAAATCAAAGTATCACACTGTTCTGCTTAGAAACCTACCATTGTTTCCCAATAAGTTCCACATTAAGAGTTAAAACTATCCTGAGCTGGGTGTCAGTAGCTCATGCCTATAATTCTAACTACTCAGGAGGCTGAGATTTTGGGATCATGGTGAGAAAGGAGCTTGGGCAGGAAAATCCGTGAGACTAGCCTCAAATTACACACACACAGACTAGCCTCAAATTACACACACACACACAAACACACACACACACACACAAACACACACACACACACACACACACACACACAGAGCGGAAAATGGTTCAAGTGGAAGACAGTTAGCTTTCCGCACAAAAAACACTCAGGGGCAAAGCTTGGGTTCTGAGTTCACCCCAGGGCTTACACACACTGACACACACACAAAAATATTCTTTATCTCGGCTCTTAAAACTGACAATACATGGTGTTCAAGGACCTGGCCTCATAATTTACCTCTGTGCGCTCCCACAACCCTTTTTTTTTTTGCGCCAGTCCTGGGGCTTGAACTCAGGGCCTAGGCTTCTTTTGCTTAAGGCTAGCATTCTATCATTTGAGTCACAGTGCCACTTACTTCCGGCTGTTTCTGAGGAATTGAACCCAGGGCTTCAAGCATGCTAGGCAACCACTCTACCACTAAGCACATCCCAAGCCCCCTCACCGCCCCCGCCCCTTTTTTTTAATTCAGGTTTTTTCTCTTTTCTTGGATTGCTAAAATTTTGTTAGGGCCGGGCTGGGAAAGTGGCTCAGAGGTAGAGCTCTTGTCTTGCATGCATGAGGCCCTGGGTTCGATTCCTCCGCACCACATAAGCAGAAAGGAGCCAGAAGTGGTGCTATGGCTCAAGTGGTAGAGTGCTAGCCTTGAGCAGAAGAGCTGAGGGACAGCGCCCAGGCCCAGAGTTCAGTTGTTACGGCCTTTGCATTTGGTGGTCCTCCCTCCCCTCCTCCCCTCCCACTCGTGTCCCTAAGCGTCCCCACAAGCACTTGCTACTGGCCTGGACGGCCCTGTTGTGCCCACTTGTTCAAGGTCGTCCTTGCCCACAGCCAAGTCAGCGGCTTGGGTGACCCCTGGCCTCAGGACAGCGCCGGAGGGTACTTGGTGCTCAGTACATATCAGATGGCCAGAGCTTCAAAAACACAAAGGCGGACCGACACCCCGTCTGCTTTTCACAGCCGATACGGCCCCAGCGACTCCGGCCAGCCAGCCTTCAAACCACCCGGTACGAGCCCCAACTCACCGAACCGGAGCCCAGCTGCTTCCGACCCAAGAGGATGCGCGACCCGGAAGTATACCCGGCCGGACCCGCCCCCCCTCCCGGAGAAGGAAGTACTCCCGGGGCAGTGGGAGCGGCGCGTCGGCGGTGGCGGCGGCTGTGGTGCTGGCTGGGTGCACAGTGCTCCCGAAGTTGAGGTCGACAGGAGCGGGGTAGGTTCCGGGGTGGGTGCTTGGTCGCTGGGGAGGGAAAAGGGGGGAACAGGTGGCCTCGTCCAGTCTGCAAACTTCGGGGTGTCTGTTCACTCCAGACTTTCGATACGTGGTTTTGACTTCCGGTAACTGCTTTTGGATGGGGGGGGGGAGCGCACAGCGTGTCTGCCCACCTGGAGACATCCGGGTACTCAGAAGGACGCAGCCCTTGGCAGGCTGGTCCTGGTAGCGGCTGGGTCGGGCTGCTTGCCGGCTCCGGGTGAGACGCGGAAGTGTGGGCGGGGCTAACTTCTCGGTGGTCGCTACGGTTACGGGCGTGGGACAAAATACCTGAGCGAGCTTTTAACTCTAGATTAGCCTTGAGAGGATGCACTGGGGCAGGCGTGTCATTGTTTAGTTCATTTCCTTTTGTGTACATAGACCCTTGGAATGAGAGACCTAAGGCCTGTGTATTTTTGTTCCTTAAAGATATGGATCACTTCGGTTTATTATTTTTTTTCTTCGTTCACTGGAGTCTTTCTCTTCCAGTTCATCACAAAATACCCGGAAAACTTAGGAAACCATTAAATAACGCAGTTTCACCTACCTGTTACTTATTTCTGTTTGCTGTGAGATGATGAATTCGGTGAGAGGAGAGTATCTACAGTCCTTCTAAAATACAAATGCATTGTTTTCCAGCCTTGCACATTCTAGATCATCTTTAAATCATCTAGTTTTAAATTTAGATGGTGATGACCGAAAAATACAGATTACCAGTGTTTTATATATTGGAGTGTATCCTAATCTTATGTGAAGTTACATGAATTACATTTCTATAATGATATATTTTGAATGTATTACACATAGTATACGTATATATTACATATATGTATGTATTACACATAGTGTACAACACTTACACTCTCCCTCCCCCCCCCCAGCTTAGCTCCAAGGCGTCTTAAAGTTGTCTTCCAGTTTCATGCCTCCTTATTGTTTTTCTCCCTGGTATTTTAATGACTCCGGGTAACTGGTATCATGTATACCTTTGAGCTTTCTTGTGGGTTGTTTTTATACCTTTGAACTCTCCCCTGCCTGGTATTTTGATCTGTCACAATCCTACAAACCTCTCATGGCAGGAGTTTGAAATGCCTGTGGGACTCATCAGGTTAACATAAATGAGTGAAGTGGATTTAAGTGTCAGTGGTGAGGTGCAGGAGCATTGCCTAAAAAACCAGTAGCTATTTGGCATGAGGTAGTTGTTAACCAGTCAGTATAGAGCCTTTGTTGCCAGATCTTTCAGCTTTCAAGGGAAATTGGACACTTGCACTTTTTATGAAGACTGGGTTTTAAACTTGGAACTAATTTAAAAGTTTAGACATTATATAGACAAATTAAAAACATCTCTAGGATAAGTTTGACACTGCAAACTCTAGACTTGTGTTTGGTACTTTGTGTATGAATCATATCTCCTGATTCAAATGGATGTTTTCCTTTCTGTTCTTTTAACCTTTTTTTGGTATGTTTCTTAATTATAAGAGTGTGTCTAGTCTTTCTGCTTCAGTTGTTAATATGCTTTAAAAATCTATTTGAATCATTTTGATGTCATGTATTGGCTCTTTTCTGCATGTAGTCCTTCTCTCTATAAAATAGGTTTATACACACCTGTGTGTTTGGGTGTTGGTCAAAGAGAGAAAAAGAGAGATCACAACACAAGGGGGTGAAGGAAAGGGGAAGAAATCCATTCATTCTCTCATGATATTTGAATATCCTTCTCTTTGTAGCAGGGCAATATGATATTGATTTAATTGCCAAAGAACCCTTCTGGAAGGAATTGGATTGGGTAATTGAATTGCTGTTCAAAAGTTGATCTGAGGTGGTCACTGGATATAGACAAATAATAGAGCTTTTCCCTGGTATGTGTGGGGCCCTGAGTTCTATTACTAGCACTGTAAAAAAATAAGTAAGTGTAAAATACAAGTCAATCATCTCTTTTGTTACATCAAATGTTCCAATACCAACAGAATGTTGCTGTGTTTATGATGAATATTTTTAATACTAGTAAAAGGCCCAGTGTAGTGTTTCATACCTATAACCCTAGATACTCCAGAGAAGGAGATAGGAGGATTATGTTTAAAGGTCAGCCCAAGCAAAAGTTAATCTTTCAGAGAAAGCAGGCTTGGTAGTAGTATATGCCTGTAATCTCAGGTACTTTAGAGGCAGAGGTAAAAAAAAAATCATGGTCTGAGCCTTGCCTGGACAAATGTAGGAAACCCTATCTAAAAACAAAAGCAAAGGGATTAGAGACATGGGTTAATCCGTAGGGCCACCACTACAAATATGAAACAGAACCCTAAAAAACTTCTGACAGAAATGTTTTCTGATGTTTAGTAGGAAGTGGTTAGTTAAGATTTTAAAGGATAGTCAAGTCAGTAAAAGGGGAAATAGATAAAGAATTTCCTCAGAATGAAACACTTGCTCAGTGAAAAACCTTAGGAAGACAGGGAAAAGATAAACTATAAACTAGTGTGAAATATTTGCAAGCCACATAGTAGAGGAGTTAAATCTCCAACATACAGTGAGCTCAAAAATCTCTGTAGTACATAATGATAAAAACCAAACTGGAATGATTGGATAATGACCAAAAGATACAAATAAATGTTTCAGTGAAAAGTATATATTCAGCAAATAAGCACATGAAAAGATGCCTGGGTCATCAGCCATTAGAGAAATGCAATTTAAAAGGCACAGAAAGGTACCACTACATACCTATCTGAATGGCTCAATCGAAATAGTGACAACACAAGGTTGGTCAGAATTCAGGGGAACCTTGATTATTCATACATAATCACTAGGAAAGTAAAATGATATTCTACTTGGGAAAAGAATATAATAGAATATAATAGAATATAATCTTTTTTTGTGTGTGTGTGGTCAGTCCTGGGGCTTGAACTCAGGACCTGGGCACTATCCCTGAGCTGCTTTTTTGCTCAAGGCTAGCATTGTACCACTCGTACCATAGTGCTACTTCCAGCTTTTTCTGTGTATGTGGTTCTGAAGAATCAAACCCAGGGCTTCATGCATGCTAGGCAAGCACTCTACCACTAAGCCACATCACCAGCCTAACAGTATCATTTGAAACTAAGCTCAGTAGGAATTTTTCCCAGAGAAAGCTTTTGTTCCCATAAACACCTATACATAAGCTTTCTGAATAATTTTATTTCTGTAATAGTCCTAAAGTACACTTATACCATGGACTATTACTCAGAAATAATAATAAAAAGTCTTAATGCAACAAAAGTGGGTCTGGAGGGACTTAAATGCTGTATAAAAAAAATTCTTAACAGGCGACAAGGTATGTAATTCCATCTATACTTCTTGAAGTGACAAAGTTTCAGAGGGAAATGAGTAGGGGTTAGAAGAAGTGTGGGAATGGGCTGAGGCTAAAAGAAGGGATAGGGCAGGGATCTATGTGATTAAATTGTCTGGCATGTCTCTTGCAGTGATGGTCATGAGAATGTATATCTTTGGGCCCCTGTAAATAGGTTCCGTACATGCAGATTCAGCCAACTGCTAATTGGAAATACTTGGAAAAAATTTCATCTGTACTGAACTTGTATAGAGGTTGTGTGTGTGTGTCTGTGTCAGTGTTCCCCATGTGTGAATATATGCCTAGGAATTACACTGTATTATGCATTATAAGTAGTAAAGAGAGAATTAAAGTATATGAAAGAACTTAGCATTGGTTGTTTTCGTCTATAATCTTAGCTACTCTGGAGACATAGTGGAAGGATTGATTTGTGGGGCAAATCAAAAAAGTTCTTGAGATCCTATGTTTTCTTCCTTCTTCTCTTTTCTATTTGTTTTGTCTAAGAACTTGGTACCTATTGATTTTACTAGTGACTAGCACACTACCAATTGAGCCAGGCCTCCAATTCCTTGAGACCATATCTCGGAAAGAACCACCAGAGGACTTGGGGTTATAGTTCAAGTGGTAGAGCAGCAGCCTAGCAAGGATGAGGCCAGAGTTCAAACTCCAGAACCACACCCCCCCCCCAAAAAAAAACTATGGAAAGATGTACATAGGTTATGTGCCAGTATGACGCCATTATATCATATGAGGGTCCTAGAAGCAGTTCCCTGCACATACCAAGACATGACTGTATTTGGGATAAAATTTTATCTATCTAATTAATGTACACACCAATGAGTTCATGTAAAAATGGTGAAATCTGAAGATTGGTGGATTCTGCCACAATGTATTATTATGCTTCAGTTATGCAAGTTGTTACTAGGAGGAACTGGGGAAGGTCTGTGGAATCGTGTCTTACTAATTTACTGATGTACCTGCCTGTGACTCTGAAAGTATCAATATTTAGACAATTTTTTAAATTAAACTTTTTATTGCTTTAGGAAAACTTTTATTATTATTAATAAGATTTTTATTGTGAAAATACTGTACAGAGGGGTTACAATTACATGAGCAAGGTAATTAGTACATTTGTTATCAAGCATTGTTGCCTCCTCCTTTGTTTCCCTTTCCCATCCCTGCCCTTCCAACCCACCTTTCCCCCCAGACAAATAATTTATACCAAAAATACTGACATCAGTCACTTTTTTTCCTTGGGCTTTTCTTTGACCAGGTGATGTGCTAATCATGTCAGATAAAGATGATCCTGAGACTCCAGTGATAACTGAAGCAAATCCTGTCCTTGAAGATAGAAACTGCGAGTCAGTGGAAAATTCTGAGTCTGTGAAGAATGCTGAGTCTGTTGACCTACATGCCAACCAAGAGAGTCAGTCGGAACCTGTAGTGTCCACTCGGAAGAGACCAGATGTTGGATCTTCCAGGGATCCTGAGACTTCAGA